CTTCCATAGCGCAAAATGGGGCTCGATGCCCAAGAACAGCTCGCAAAGAGCTACAAAGCCCGCGATGTGCGAAATGGAGGCAGGCGTGAGGTGGTGAAGTTGGAGTCCATAGAACTCCAGGAGCCCCCGAAGAAACGGATGTATAGGAAATCCGAGTCCCCTTATTAAGTAGGGGACGAAGCATACCCGCTCTCCTTTGGAGGGATTGGGGACGCTCTCCGCCTGCTTCCCACCCTTGTAGGTGGCCAGTCCGGCTCGAACCGGAACCATAAAGGCCGGGGGAAGGTATCCCTCTATTTGGAGCGTCACTAACTCGCTATGCGGGACTGAGCATCTCCTCCAATCTCCTGGCTGAGGACTGGGAGCGCGAGAAGAGGAGCCGCGTCGACTGTCCATGTTGGAATGGATTTTTTGTCAGATGCGCCTCGGTGAGTACTTGCGGAAGGAGGATGGTGTGATTTGGATCTAGGATCCTCGCCTCTCTTATAGGCAGCTTATTCGCACAGCTAGGGGGTAAAAGGTAAGAGTATCCTGGCTTTTCGCATTCGTACGACACGTGGAAGAAGGCCATTATTGGACGTAGAAGCCAAGGAGCGCAGCATTTATGAAGCAACCGGACACTATCCGGCGGACACGTGAAACATGAAGGAGAACCCGCCTTGCAAATGCCAAAGACAACATAGCGCTGGGCTCGTCGTCATTGAAGCCTGGTTCGGGGGCTACTGAGGGAGTCCTGGACTAGGGGGTGTTCGGATAGCCGAACTATCATCATCGGCCGGACTCCCTGACTATGAAGATACAAGATTGAAGACTTCGTCCCGTGTCCGGATGGGACTTTCCTTGGCGTGGAAGGCAAGCTTGGCGATACGGATATGTAGATCTCCTACCATTGTAACCGACTCTGTGTAACCCTAGCCCTCTCCGGTGTCTATATAAACCGGATGGCTTTAGTCCATAGGACGAACAACAATCATACCATAGGCTAGCTTCTAGGGTTTAGCCTCCTTGATCTCGTGGTAGATCTACTCTTGTAACACACATCATCAATATTAATCAAGCAGGACGTAGGGTTTTACCTCCATCAAGAGGGCCCGAACCTGGGTAAAACATCGTCTCCCTTGTCTCCTGTTACCATCCGCCTAGACGCACAGTTCGGGACCCCCTACCCGAGATCCGCCGGTTTTGACACCGACAACTATCTTTATTCATAAACACATACTCCCTCGGTTTCAAAATAGATGAGTCAACTTTGTACTAAAGTTAGTACAAAGTTGGGTCATCTATTTCGGAACGGAGGGAGTAGGAAACATCATCATACATGATTGCCTCTAGGGCATATCTCCAACACTTTGTCCATATGCACTAGAACAAGAATCATCCAGCGGAGATCCTCCTCTGTCGGGTCATCTTCTTCATCAAAAAACACATCGTCCAAATCATCCTCGTTTAGAGCAAGCTCCTACATCAGATCCTCCCCTTCCCCTTGCTGCCAGAGGCGGATGTTTCACCATGATTCTCCATGACATGCTGACAGATCGATCTCTTTTCCTCGCCGCCGAAGACACATCAACCCCTCAGCCCCCCCACCCCGGTGATCGAGGAAACCACAACCAAGGCGGGACAGCATACTCTAACCTCCCCTTGATCGGCCCGGGTGTGTGGATCGGGATCGAGTGAGGAAGAAGGAAAGATTTTCTCAACGTCGCCATTGGCAAGAGGAGATAAAAACCCTAGCTCGAGGGAAAACGACACACCCAAAATATATAGGTAAACGTTTGGGGCCGGGGTGCAGGCCGAACGCTCGGGCGGTCGCACGCGGCTCGTTCGATTGCCCACATCATACTTTCCAACAGGTCGATCAGTCGGTTGCGCCCCATGTGTCTGGGACCAAGCACCACTCAACGATCTTATCTCCATCTCTCCCATCGTCTTCAACTCCCAACCACACATGACTGCGTCTTCCACCTTCCTCTCCCCCCGCTACCCCTTGCCTTTTGCTGCGACAAGCCGGTCGCCGCGCCATGAATCTAATTAACTGCTCGGGCAGCTATCCTCTTTCTCTTATTTCTCTCCCCACCTCTCCTCCCCCCTCGCTGCAACATCAAGGTGCTGCAGGAGGGGCGCCCGCAACGGGGACGTGTGCTGCTTGCTGCGGTGGTTGTGCAGCCGGGAGAGACGCCCGCGATGGCCTGTTGCTTTTCTGCTGCGACGCCGGTTGTGGCTTTTTGGATTGACGGATGTAGCTTTTTCACTAGCTGGTTGCATCTTTTTTGAATTGTTCTGTTCCAACCCCCAATCGCTTTGTTTTCGCCGAAAATCGGCATCATCATTTTGCTATGATCGGTCAGGACTTTTGCTAGAACCGGCGTCTGTGGTTGCTGCAACCGGCAAGACGACGTGCCCACTGGAGCTGGACCTGTAGCGCGCCTCACCGCGGTGTGGTTTTTGTTGGAACCAACATAACTTTTTATGGAACCGGCTAGTTACTGTGCTACAATCAGACTTTTGGGATTTTTGCTGCTATGTTTATTTGCTAGAACCAATGTCAAATTTTGCTGGAACCGGCTACTCCTTTGCTACAAGTGGATTTTTTGGATTTTTTGCTGCTATGGGTGTTTGCTAGAACTAGTGTCAAAATCTGCTGGAACCGACTTTCTGTTTTGCTTCAACTGACCACCGAAGATTTTTCTTTGTTCGCTGGGTTCTTGCACTCGAAGTCTGGAACACGACGGTGCTAGTAGATGACGATGGCGAGCGGGAGCCTATGACTCGAGAGATGCTTCAGCCACGGCATCCACGCGCTGGAACCGACTAGCGTTAGAGCTGCATCGACATGATTTTTGTTGCAAAATGGTCGGGATTTGGCAATCGGCAACGACGAGCGGTGCTGGCGAGCTGACGGTGCTTCGAGCCTGGACGCGGGCGGATCTGGCAGTGCTTCAAGCCGGTGGTGTTTTTTTTTGCTGGACACGGGGGTCTAGTCGTTGGGGTCGCCAGATTGGATGGCTGCCAGGCGTCCGGCCGAAAGTTGGGCCGGCGCGCCGCGCCTATCACTGGCTAAATATATATCTCGCCGCGAGTTGGATGCTAGCCTTGCCTGAGGGAGCGCTAGTACATACTAGGACAGCCCAGCTCACGGGAGGCCACAACCTCGTTTATTTCTGGTTTTTCACTTTTTTGTTTATGTATTCTTTTTTTACTTTTGTTTATACTTCTAAATATTCTTAATAAATATATTATAAAAAACACTTTACATAAACATTTGAAGAAAATGTTAATCAAACATTTAAAAAATGTTAAATATGTATAGAGAAAATGATTCTCATGTGTACAAAAACTGTATACAGAAAATACAATATGTATGAAAGGAATTGACATTTTTTAATACAAGATTAACAATTCTTTTTAATACAAGATTAACATTTTTTGAACACGTAGTCCCAGGTTACATGATCCTAGTCTATACAGGGAATCAGAGTCATCCATCAACTTATCGTGTATGCCAAATCTCTTGGAACCTTCTGATTATACGCCATGAGTCACCTGATGTTTGGCTGGACATTTGGGTTTACCCGAAAATTCAAGTTAGATAATTCGGGTTAGAAAATTCGGGTTTGGAGAAACTTCCTGTATCCTCACCTACAGGGCGATATTGGATAGCAATTCGACAGTACTGTTTCAACGGCATATATGATACTGTAGATAGATACTCCTAGTACTGTAGTGGCATATTTATAACCACGCGCAGATACTGATGAAAGCAACTACATAGACATTGCCGGGGGGGATCCTTCATGTGTTGGCCAAAAGAGATCTCTTACGGATACGAGCAAATGAAGCGGATCTGTTCATGCTCTCAAGTCCTGAGTATTCACACGCCGCGCCCACACGGAACACTGGACAGCGGTCAAACCAGCTCAAGTGTTTTTTTTTTTGAGTATCAGTACAGACACACGCGTTCATATACACGCGCATACACTTACTTCTACGCGCACACACACACTTTACCTCTATGAGCACCTACGAGAGACTGAGCCGGCATATTATCTTGAAATTTACGAAGCCACCGTAGACGCCTCATCCGTAAATCCTGAAATAAATCTAGGAATGATGCGAGCACCAGGATTTAAATCTTGATGGATTGGAGATACCACTGTCCACCTAACCATTTCAACCACTGATTGGTTCGCAACCAGCTCAAGTGTTGAACTCCAAGAGAAGACGCTCTCCAGTCTTGACAGGTCGGCCGTTGGCCCTCTGTCCAGTCTTTTCTTTTTTTCTTTTCTTTTCTTTTTCTTTTTTGCGGGTGCCCCTCCCCTCTGCTCACAGTCAACGTCTGGTCCACGCTGGGATATAAGAGCTTGCCAAACAATCATGGCGGTGATGCCGTTATTTACATCACGACGACACTGCCATGTGACATAACAGACAACACCACTACTTAATTCGGTCTGAGCGTTGCTTCTGAGAATAAGTACGATTTCTGTACGATGGAGAATGGCCACCGACCGTTGATCAGCAAACATTTTTATATACAGAAAACAACGGACGGGTTCAGCAGCGATTACGAAACCGAATCAAGCGACACGCGTAGAGTTTTTTCTTTTTTTTTGATGGGAGCGACACGCGTAGAATAAATAAATGCAAAAGTCGTAATTACCCAGCACATATCCGGGTGGGGAAGCAGATCTTCTTTGAAGCCGGTTGATATTTTTAGTCCAGTTTGTTTCCCACAAGCATGCGCATGACCACATACACCTTTTTTTTTAGGGCACACACACACCTTACAAAGCGTTCATCACCAGTCGTTGTTCATCGCGATTCTATAATCACCACTTGTAGTAATGGACACCGCCATTTTTACAATCGTCACTACCGCCCAGTAAAACACCCTTGGAGCTATTCTCAAGACCGCTGCCCCTAGAACCAGGCCAGCCAGTTAGTCTTCAGCCTTTGGCATTCATCAATCAAAAAGGAAAAAGAGTCTTCAACCTTTAAGCCTAACTAATAGCTCCCTCGATCGATGTCTTCAGCCTTTGAACCTCAGCTAAGAGGGAAGAGTTCATCTCACATGCATCCTTCAAGATTTCAATTCTCCGTCCAACTTCACTGCCGTACTGCGAATCCCGTGGGATGCCTTGCAGAACCAGACTCTGGAGCATAGCCTGTCCAGACGGAATTTTTTCCCAAAAAAACAAAGGATGGGGAATGATTAGAAAATTCTATGTGTCGCAGCAGCATAAGGAGTTCACGTTGTTGAAAACTCAGAGGGGAAAGGTTACCTCGTGGTGCTGCTTCTGGGAGTAGCACCGGATGAGCGACTTGACCATCTTGTTGCGCACTTTGACGGAAGCACTGCGCCGGAAAACAAAACCGGACAAGTGATGCTTCGCTAGTGTGAACGACATGGAATCCCTCCGAGCAGCCTTGTCCAGGATACCAGATGTCCATGATTTGGCATAAGCCTCCAAGATTCCTTCGTCGCCCTACAAATGAAATTCATAAGTATGAAAGGTCAAGCCATCACTTCTTATCAGACATCTAATAATTAGCACCAAAATAGCAATGAATCATGTGCTCTTTGCATAGTCTCTGTTGTGCAATGTGCAAGCACTAGACGAGTTAAAAGTAAATGATGAAAACAAATTCATAGTCCATCCTGTCACTACCAAAGATGCTATCCTGAAGAGAATCATAAAATGAACCAATGAAACAATACCTCAAGAGGCTCCAAGTATCCTTTAACATCACCAATGCATTTGTCTAGGGGAGGCAACAGTTCAAGCACATAAGCAGTAGACAATGCATTCCAGGCTGCCAGCCGAACCGTAGTCTCAACACATCTATGCAAATAAATGGCCACTTGCCGACCAAAAATAACATCTCCATATGAGACAGCTGCGAATTGATCTACAACACTCTCGACAAAAGTAGTGTAGCTCTCATGAATTTTCTCCTTGAATCTGAGAATTTCGTGAGTGTTAATTACTTTTACTTCTTCAACAGTGGCCACAGATCCTACAACCTCATCATTATTAGCAGAGTGAGATCTATAATATTTCTGGCATAACATATCCAGATGCTGGCCATACAATTCTTGCAAAACCTCAAAAACATCCTTGCTTCTATCTTCTTGAAGCAAGTCCATGTTAGTGCGGACAGAGGCAGAAAGTGCATGCATTTTCCAAACCAAAGGGACATCAAGAGATGGAGCAGCTGAAACAGCTTCCAGACCCAACAAAAAGATAAGACCAGCTCTTGAAACATCAGCGTCATCAGTGCAGCAGATTGAACTTAGAATCCAATGCACAGGAAGAGGCAGTCTCTGGTGTGCCCACTCTAGAACTAACGTGCTGCAAGGTGGATTTACAACTTCTGTTAATTCCATTTCCTCTTGAATCGTCTCTAACATTTCTGGTACTTTTGGCTTATTTATGGCACTGTTATTTCTTGCATGTTTGTCTGGATTCTTCTTCTTGATGGCCAACCATCTGGATCTGAAATGTGAATTTAGCACATTGCTAAAATGCTGATACTCATCCTCAGTTATGTCCCACTCAAAAGTTTTTGGTAATTTCATTTGAGAAGCCAGACAATGTATGGAAGATCTGAGACATTTCAGAACTGAAGGTTGGAAGAGGATATCAAAGGCTCTCTCCAAGGTAGAGATCTGGCCAGGTCCTGCAATCAAAGATACACCAAGGACAGGACTGATTCTCTCTGAAGCGTTGGTGAATGGATTAGTTACATTATCCAAGTTTGCACCTTTACTGAGGGTAACAAGGCCTTCTGGCGCAGCAGAGACGATTTTTATCAACTCTAGGACCAACTGTGAATCCAGTTGTGTAAGTAGGCATTTCAGAGACCAAAACCCACCCCCGCACGTCCCCCAGCCAAACCCAACACCAGGAGCTAGTCCTCCTCTACCAAACATCTCTATGTTCTTTAATACAGGCCACTGTGAGGAAATCAATGGCAACAGCGAAGTAAGAAAGTTCAACAAGTCATTTTGCCATAAACTGGAAATGCCTTCTTGTAATATCTTGCCAGCTAGCCCTGCTTTAGATTCTTTGAGATGCTCAGAACTGTTTATTGTCGCTCTCTGGATCACTCTGTCAACAGAACAGGATAGCTGCACTAATCGTTGAAGGCAACTTATGGAAGATAGTGATGCATCGACATCACCCCAGCATCTCAGATGACAAAGTCCCTGCACCAACGATACACCACGGGACGGCAGCTGCTCAACTTCAGTGCACGAGAAGCTGAAAAACCCATTAGTAATTATCCCCAGGCCAATTTTGGGGACAAAGTCCGGTATCCAAGGCAAGCAGTAACTTCTACTATCAGGAGTGCCCTCTGGTGATATTCTTTCCAATGTCGAATTAAGCATGCCTAGTACAGAAGAAATCAACAAAACCAAGCAGCTTTGCTCCGGTGTATGTGTTGTATTCTCATTCTGCCCATTGATCAGTGAACACAAGTAGGGAATATCATTTAGATGTAACCAAGACAGCGCCGAATTTACCATTGGAACTACATGACTCCAAGACCACATCTCACCATAACTGCCAGGAACTCCCATGTCTTGCTTGCCAAACTGCTCCACTGAATGAAGAAGAGGCAGCCTTTGTGCCAGAGCTCCTAATACAAGAAACGACTCTCTTGCAATTGAACTAAACTCAGAAAGAACATTGTGTTCACTTAGATTCTGGAACACTGGAGGGCTGAGCCACAGGCATAGAACAGGAAAGAAATCTGTGAAGTGTGATATGCAAAATCCATAAGAAATACAGGTTCTCCAAAACCGCAGCTGCTCGACCATCATTGCTGAACTCAACTTGCATTGTTCCTTTCCAGGTTTTATCCAATCCTTAAGGGTATAAGCCGGTAAGTACCACTGCCACATTGCCTGATGAAAAACTCCATTGTTCACAAAATTCAAGCATGTTTGTCTGTTGTATTTGGATAAAACCTAGCAAAAGGAACAAATGACTTTAGATGATAACAAAGAGACCTTCTGTTTGACAAATATAGAAGCTATAGTTAAAAAAGTGATTGTCGCATTTTAGTATGAGCAGTCTCAACTAAGAATAGCTTTTAGTGTGCTCATAGTATCACCTAATCTTAACAACGGGACAATCGTATTAATAAGCAACTCAAAGGAAGATTGAAGATCCACCAAATAGTTTCTGCGTCAGTACATGCATTGTGGAAGGGGGGTTGATTGGTTGACATAAGTTGCAAGGGCAATACTAAAACAATACAATTCCTATGTATTCAGATCTCAGAAGCTGCAAACAAAGAGGAGACCTCAAGATGAGATTGTTGGTTGTTAGTTGACATTAAAAAGTATTAACTCATTCAAGAATCAGTTATGACAAGTGACAAACGAGCCTTTAATTTTGAGTTTTGACATCACTGATACAAGGTGTTAAAACACTTACATCCAACAGGACACCACTTTTGAGTTCAACTAACAATAGACAATTAAGCAACAAAATCAGAATAGATTACTGGGAGAAGCATAAGTAGATCTAGTTATAGATCTATGAAAAGCAAGGATGATCAATAATGAAACACTACACTACCAACAAAATGCAGCTTCAGGTGTCAACCGACATAAAAACACGATATGCCAATGTACGATGACAGATATCTATCATGTTACCCTAAAATATGAGATTGCCTTAGCAGCAAAGATACCTTCAACAAAGTAACCCCTCTGATCATTGACGAGTGAATTTCCATTGATCCTTGCCTGTCCAACAGCTTAACAACACATTGAACAAGCTTTGTACAATTCAAGATGGCATCAGCAGATTGTGGAGAGTGTCTGGCTAATGCCACAAGAATTGAAACGAGATAATCTTTTTGAATTTGAGGCGGGTCCATCTGAATCAACAAAGAGGTACAGCCTGAATTTAAGATCCTTAATCATGCTCACCAGTTTCCACAACAAAACTAAAAGATGGACAAAATCAAATCAAATAATTTGTTCAATTATCTGAAAAACAGAGCTTTGTAGCTTAGTAATAGAAGTGCAATACAAAGTCATCTCTATGAAAGAAACAAACAATCCAGGCAGCACATGCATGTTCCAAAAATTGTTCCAAAAGGTAATATATGCTATTGGATGGCAGGAAACAATAATGTTCAGATGTTTGAGTTAGTACTATTGCACACCTACAACTGCCAATGGCATACAGTTCTTAGAATACAAAGGATATTTATATTATTCAAAGGGTAAACAAGTTAATACTAGTGGAACAGGAGGTGCTGTGCTAGAGGCATATAATTGATATTTTAATAAAGTATACATAACAAGCATTACTATACAAGACTGAACAAACTTTGGAGGGGGGGCGGGGGGGGAGGCCTGTGACTAATAGACAACACAGTTCCATGCAAATAATTTGGAGCAAATGCTTTTGTTAGGGCCTGTTTGGTTCCAATAAGTCACCTGACTTATAAGTCAGGTGACTTAAAACCAGTGACTTATAAGTCACCTGACACACCTTCCCACATCAATCAACATCATGCAGGTGGTGGGACCCACACAAAAGGGGATGACTTATAAGTTTTAAGTTGGGGTGGAGCAACTTATGACTTATAAGTTGGGGTGACTTATAAGTCGGGTCTGTTTGGCAAAATAAGTCACTTCTTTCACTTTTCGACTTATAAGTTGATGACTTATTTGGAACCAAACAGGCCCTTATTCTAGTGAAATAAAAGAAGGCACAAAGCTCTATGTCAAGCCGAAAGTCTGTATGGTTGTAAAAGAAACACGCTGGACAAGAAAACTCAAAAGGTAAAGATTGACCTCCAAAAGGGAGCAAATACGTGGTAGAATTCCCATTCTAATAAGACCAGCAGCAACATCCTGTCCAGACACAATAACATCATCTTGAATGGTGTGTTTCTCGTCACTTTCTTCTTCATCATCTTCACCATAGTGTGGAAGTATATTGGATGGTTTTGTGTTGTATTTCCAAAAACCCCCTTCAAGAAAACCTCCATCCACGTCAGGTTTGCTACGAAAAACAGGAGCTGTGCAGATATCTTCCATCTTATTTATTAATTTCTGCACGTGCGGGAGATCAGCCATATAAGACTCAAATTTGTAATAATGAAAGAATAGACGGTTAAGGGAGTTACCTCTGAAAACTCAAAATATGACTCATTCATGTCATAGCTCAACATAACATTAATAACTTTAGCGCAAGTCAAAACTACAGACTCATGGTTATCATCCAATGCCATCCTGCAAATGTGTCAGTTAGCGACAAGGTGGTAAAACAAAATATAGAAACAAAAAAGATATATGGCATGACAAGGTATCAAATTGATGCCTTTTGACTTATAGAAATACCATGCAAAATATCTAGGTGTACATTTGCTAACTGCTGGTTGTGTTAGGTTCTTCTATGATTTCCAGAATTTGGTTATGAGACTTAATATGACTGCAGTAGTTAACAACCTCGTAAAAATAATATACCAATAAACGTCTAAGTGCAAACAGAAAATATGAATGGGGAGGGAGGAGTATAAGAGCATCCGCACCCAACACCTATAAATTTGACGTGCTACAGTGGGCATTTCTGTCTTCTCTTTCCACTCACCTTTCTTAGTTCTTTAACCACATCCCTTAGCACACCATCTATAGGTGCTAAGGAGTCCAATACTTATTCAAATATAAATCTATTTTGCTTAACATTGGGTGCTATTGCTAAGCTTTTTTACCTTAGCACCTACCCTCACATGCACTAGCACCAGCGCTAGCCAATTTCTATTACTATTAGCATCCAGGAATGTGGATGCTCTAATAAGGTTAGGGGATAAATACATTAATATCATCTTGTAAATCACTGATAGTTTATGGATGAGATCACTTTAAACTATTACTAACACTTACTACTCTCTAATATGACAGCTAAAAATACGATTGTTTGAAGCATGCATTTTCAGGCACAGATGCAGCTATTTAAAATGTCTTGAAGGAAACTAAGCACATCTCTGTGGTACATGTTCCGTTTGCTCGACTATACTTGATAGGATCGTGTAGTACATGTATGCTCAGTGGCTCTCCCCACTATGATGAACTAAATAACATTGTATGGCAACAATAAGCAAATTTAAAATGAAGTTATCAGCTCAGAAATAAGTACCTTAGAGAAAGAACCAACTCTGGTTCGGGGCCAAGGGCATAGGCCCAAACTGCTTGCCAATCATAAGCTTTCTCAGCATAATTAGCTCCTTCCACATTATCAGCTAGATCCATCTTATGCAGGTTGTGCAATGCCCTATTCAGAACAGAAGCAAGAAGCTGCAGTCCTAGTACACGCTGCCCAGGAACCTATAGTTTGAACAGTAAAGCTGAATTACATAGTGTTTCTACATATTTTTGGGTCACACTTCAAGAATTGAAGCAAAACTATGAAGCACTTCTTCATAAACTGAGATTTGTGAATTCAATGAAGCAGGGAACACTAAATACCATTCCTACACGCCCACCCCTAGCAGGTGGTCTCAAGCAATCTGAATAAGTTATGTTACAACCCCTATCTTTTACTTGTTCTGTTTTATATACCGATGATTAAAAATTACCACTTTACTAGCAAGTGATTCTGGAGAAACAAATTAATGGAATAGCCTCACTGATCAGTCTAGCATAATAGCCAGTATGCCATTTCATGACAAATGCATGCAACCAAAGTAGTAAAAGTTGAAGCTCAACAACCTATCCAGTTGAATGTGGAACGCATGCAGATCTTGCAATTGTAAATTTAGCAAACCTACCAGGCTTGGACAAAAGTTTATTAAAATATGTACCACACAATCAATTGTGCATAACATGAACCCCGCAAAATTCAAGAAGAAATCCATATATGTTCCAATGTTCATGTTGCTCGAATTTGACACTGAATACAGCCAAACGCTAAGTCTGTTTTGCCCATCCACCATGTGGTAAAGTTTATAGAACAAACCATGCTCCTGGTAAGTGCCAACGCCTCATTGATTGTGTAACCAACAGCTGCAGGATCTCCCTCTGTTCGTAGGAAGTCACGCTCAGCTACGCTTTCTCCATGGGTCTTCTTGCCTACAAGCAGAAAAGGCAAGCTGTGATGCCACCCCAAGAAGCTAAACTCAGAGAGGGCAAAGAAGGAAGAAATTTACCATCTGGTTGCTCCTGACAAGATTGAAATCCCAGAATATCTCCATCTAATGCAAACCTACACAACCTGATCCGCTCCACTCTCTCACTCCATGCCTTCCAAGAGTGTGCACTCTGCTCACCAGCAGTCAAATGCTCGCCTGGAATAGCCTTTGCAGTCTTCCTTGGCCCTGAAGTTTGCCTACTCTTATCCTTACCCTCATCTTTCTTGCCACCAGACTTCTCCCTCCCCCGACGCCTCAATACCTCCACCAGAGCTGGATCCATCCTATTCAAAATATCTGCCTGTGCCTCCGCTATCTCCTCTGCCGACATCCCTGCCAGCCTCGCTGTGTTCTCTGCGTTAATCTCTGCTGAAATCGATGGCTCCCCATCATCGAGCTGCATACCCTCTCCTTGCAATTCAGCAACCCCAGCCCCACCTTTCGTCAATCCATTCTCTGCATTAATCAGCTTCTTTGACAACACGTCAGAAACCAAACCCGTCGGGCCCAATGCTTCCCTACCATTTCCACTGTCCAGCTCCATGCCATCTCCCCCCAATCCCCTCTCCCCCACCTGACCAACTACATTTTTAACCTCAGCCACATGATCAATTTTCTTTGTGTTGTCTTCCTTCGCCTGCCTCCGCTTGGGGGGCACATCGTCAGCGACGAACTCTCGCCACCTGCTGAAATCCATGCCCTTCTTCTCTTTCCTCCTCACAGGCCCGGCCACCGCAGCCGCGGGCTGGTAGTCCATGTCGTCCACATCCATCCCGTAGTCCTCCTCCTCCCCTTTCTTCTTGTCGGCACCCTTCGCCACCGGTTTCCAGTGCTGCATAAGAGCAGTTAATCAGTCGTAAAGCACAAGCCAGCACTAACTGAATAGGAGAGGAACAGGTTGGCGGGTTCAGGGTTAAGCTAGGGTTTCATGGAGGGGCGACAGCGGCGGCTTACGGGGCCATGGGAGCGGTGGCGGGCGACGGGGAAGGGGAGGACGGTGGGGCGCGGGGCGGAGGAGGGCGCGGCGGCGGAGAAGCCCTTCTCGACGATGGCGCCGACGAGGTGGGCCGGTGAGACCACCGTCGCTGCCGCGGCGGCCGCGGGTGGAGGCGGCGGCGGGTCGAAGGGCCCCTCCACGACCTTGCGGCGCGCGGGGAGAGCGCCCGGCTGGTGCCTCCGCTTCGTCGCGTCTTCCATTGGCGGCCTGGTGAGCGGAGCGCGGCCTTGGTAGTTGGCAAGGGAGGGTTTAAGGGGAGGAGCAAAGGAGGGAACGAGGGAACGAGGGGATTCGCTGTGGTTGGTTTCTTTCCTTCTTCCTGTTTGCAACTCGATCGCCCGATTAGCTCTTTGGTCGTGTGAGGCCTTGTACAAGGCGTTTAAGGGGGTGTTTATAAAGAAATAAACCAGCATTTCTTTAAGCATCGGTGCTTGTTTATAGATGATGGATGTTTGATTAGACGTCTCTTCTGCAGAAATAGGCATCGGTGTTTGTTTAAAAAAAACAATTTGTTTTTCTAAGCATCTAGCATTGTATAAGACCTAGCAGATTTTCAAATTTTTCAACGGGATGTCATTTTATCAAAGTCAAATCTGGCAATTGTGTGTGCCTTTGCTTGGTTCCATGATGAGATTTCACCCATTATTTGAATATATAGAAGCGTAACAGAACATTTTATACGAGTGACTAACACCACGATGAACTCATACATTGTTACAGAATTTAAACAATCATCCATACACAGTAAAAAAAACACTCTAAAGTATACTTCAGGGCCACCCTCATTGATAATACGAATAACATATTGTTCTATGTGTTTTGCGTATACATAGACAGTCATCAAACTACAAAGTCCACATGGATTTGCAAAATCAAGCGGAAAAAGTGTAACTAATGTTGCTTTTCTAAAGGTAGAGAGGTGTACGTGTTGAAGATTTCACGCTTTTAGAATGACGTCGTGTTCTTGTGGTTATGGATGGTGCTAACTGGCCAACGACAACTCGGATTAATAAGTGTCGCGCCCTTGTAAATATTGATTGTACTGTAGGTTTTACCGTTTTAGTAGCGAGAAATCGCACAAGCTTAAGTTTTAGTTACTATCAACTAAGGGTGCATTTGGTTGGAGGTTTGGATGGGATGGCGCATGGATGGTCCATCATACATATGTTTGGTTGGAGTAGTACAACAACATAATGAAATAAAGGTGTTCCACTAGAAGGAACATTCCATGCATATTATGAAACCGATTGATAACACCAAGTTGGGGGAATCACATGGTTCCTCGCTTTTCCCCTTTCATCGCCCGAGCCTTTATTCTCTTAAAAAAAGACTACACGCTCATGCTCAAACCCCTACTGTCATTGTTGTCACATTAATCCCAACGAGAGAAGCCCATCTCTATTTGGTTAATCGCCTATGTCTGGACGATAAGGGTCAAGTGGTGGTTCCGGCTCAGGCTCTGGAGCTGATGTCTGGCCTCGGTGCGCGTAAACAGCCGCCGGCAAGACGAGGTAATGGCATGCAGTTAAATCAAACAAAGAGGGCGCAGGCAAGATAATAATCTCATTGTGTTTCTTATTAAATCTCAGATTATACAGAAGCATCTTATCATCATTGTTAACAATAAACTTATGTGCTACCATGCTCTTATAGTCTAGAAAAGTAGGGGTAGCAGTTTTTCTTCTTTCTCATAATGCCTAATAGGTATCTTAAAGTGTTTAGCAAGGTGTGCAACATAGATACCTCCAAAGATGGGGCTCTTTATACGGTTCAGACTTAACCGTTTAGCAATAATAGACCTATACTAACAGAATTGTCACGAAATAAAGCATGGAACAAAATAATAATATCAGGAACACTGAGGTTTCCACAGTTTCCGCAACCAATTAAGCATCGACTAGCAAATATTGCAAAGTAGCGTAAAACAGGAAAATGTATGCTAGTAAATCTTACATCGGAAACCTTCATCGGTTCCCCTACAGTAATAGTATCAATAAAACCATCCACATATTTACGATGTGGTTCCTCTAAGCTGCCCTCAAAGGGTATTCTGCAGACCGCGCAAAAATCACGTAATGACATCTCCCTAGTGAAGGAAATATGCCCTAGAGGCAATAATAAAGTTATTATTTATTTCCTTATATCATGATGTAGGACCTTGAAGTATGTCTAGAGGGGGTGATTAGACTACTTGACCAATTAAAAACTTAACATTTTCCCAATTTTAGACTTTGGCAGATTTTAGCTATCTTTGGACAAGTCAAGCAATCTTCACACAATTCAAGCACGCATGCAAAGAGTATATGAGCAGCGGAAATTAAAGCATGCAACTTGCAAGAATGTAAAGGGAAGGGTTTGGAGGATTCAAACGCAATTGGAGACACGGATGTTTTTATCGTGGTTCCGATAGGTGGTGCTATCGTACATCCACGTTGATGGAGACTTCAACCCACGAAGGGTAATGGTTGCGCGAGTCCACGGAGGGCTCCACCCACGAAGGGTCCACGAAGAAGCAACCTTGTCTATCCCACCATGGTCGTCGCCCACGAAGGACTTGCCTCACTAGCGGTAGATCTTCACGAAGTAGGCGATCTCCTTGCCCTTACAAACTCCTTGGTTCAACTCCACAATCTTGTCGGGGGCTCCCAAGTGACACCTAGCCAATCTAGGAGACACCACTCTCCAAGAAGTAACAAATGGTGCGTTGATGATGAACTCCTTGCTCTTGTGCTTCAAATGATAGTCTCCCCAACACTCAACTCTCTCTCATAGGATTTGGATCTGGTGGAAAGAAGATTTGAGTGGAAAGCAACTTGGGGAAGGCTAGAGATCAAGATTCATATGGTAGGAATGGAATATCTTGGCCTCAACACATGAGTAGGTGATTCTCTCTCAGAACTGGTAAGATGGAAGTGTAGGTTTGTTCTGATGGCTCTCTCCACGAATGAAGAGGAGGTGGAGGGGTATATATAGCCTCCACACAAAATTTAACCGTTACACATAATTTACCAAACTCGATGGGACCGAATCAACAAACTTGGTCGGACCGATTCAGTAAACCTAGTGACCGTTAGGATTTTCGGTGGGACCGACATGCAACTCGGTAGGACCGATGTGGTTAGGGTTAGGGCATAACATAATCTCGGTGAGACCGATTACACAAACTCGGTGAGACCGATTTTGGTAATTATCTAACCAGAGAGTTGGTCAGGTAAACTCGGTGGGACCGATTCACTCTTTTCGGTGAGACCGAAATGTTACGAAAGGGAAACAGAGAGTTTACATTGCAATCTTGGTGGGACCGATCGCTCACTTCGGTTAGACCGAAACATTACGAAGGGAAACAGAGACATTACAATCCCATCTCGGTGAGATCGAGATCCCTATCGGTGAGACCGATTTGCCTAGGGTTTGTGGCAGTGGCTATGACATTTGAACTCGGTGGCGCCGGATAGAAAGAACCGGTAGGACCGATTTTGACTTTGGGTTTAGGTCATATGTGGATGTGAGAAAGTAGTTAAGGGTTTTTGGAGCATATCACTAAGCACTTGAAGCAAGAGGCTCATTAAGCAACACCTCATCCCTCCTTGATAGTATTGGCTTTTCCTATAGACTCAATGTGATCTTGGATCACTAAAATGTAAAATGTAAAGTCTTGAGCTTTTGAGCTTGAGCCAATCCTTTGTCCTTAATATTTTGAGGGGTCCACTTTCATCATCCATGCCATGCCATTCATTGAGCTTTCCTGAAATATTTGTCTTGGAATAGCATTAGCTCAATGAGCTATATGTTGTTATGAATTACCAAAACCACCTAGGGATAGTTGCACTTTCAATCTCCCCCTTTTTAGTAATTGATGACAACATATAGATCAAATCTTCGACAAATGATAATAAGATTGAAAAACATCGTCGCTTTGAGAAGTATGTGATAAGCAGGAGCTCCCCCTAAATTTGTGCATAGTTTAAGATTTGCTTTGGACTGCAAATGCACAAGGAATTAGGCTCATGGGTTACTCTTCCATGTCACATACATCTTGGTGGAGCGCTCAAAATAATAAAGATTGAATACATGCACTCATCACCAAGCAAAGTGAATGATCATATAAGGATAAGTAAGATAATATCATCTAACAAGCAAGTGTAGCTCGTGATCAAACACATGATCATCAATGTCTCACAGATAATAGCATAGTATCTCAAGCAATCAAAAGCAAACAAAGTTCAACCAAGAAGACAAGAGAGAACAAAAGCAAATCCTCTCTCTCGAAGCCTATGATCTATACATTTTTCTCCCCCTTTGGCAACAAGTTACCAAAAAGTTCATAAAAAATGCATAGCACTAGATCGACTCTCAGGCTTGATCTTCAGGTGGTGATGTAGAGATGACGCCAAGGACGAAAGCTTCAGTAGATGTGGATGGAGCTGAAGGAGTTGGTGCTGGAGCTGGTTGCACTGGAGCTGTAGCTGGTGCAGATGAAGTGGCTCTGGTGTCTGTCACTGGCTCTGCAGCTGATCTCTAAGCTCGAGGCACTCTGGCAAATGCATCAGTAGTTGTCCTGCCCTTCCTCTCCTGCACGTCATCCTGTAGCTGCTCCACAACTGACTGAATCTCAGTTACTTTGACATCTAAATCATAGAATTTTTGTTCCATGATTCTTTCCAGGCTCTCCTGGTTTCGAGTTAGGTGGCCAACCCCTTCTCAATCCTCGAAGTTGATGCTATCAAGTAACCAAGCTGGTCCTGCTTGTTCTTCAAAAAGTACTCAGATGCCTCCTCTTGAGTTGGCATCTTGGCAGCCCTCTCTTTCTTTGCTTTCTCCTTCTTCTCTTGAGCTTGTAGTGATGATGGTTCATTCTCATTCATCACAACTTGATTGTCCTCAAAGTTTGGATGGAGAACAAGGTGTTTCTTATCCAACAGATATGTTCCTGTGCCCATCTTTGAGTTAATCAACTCCTGAATTTGTGGGGCATATCCACAACTTCTCTTTTGGTCTGCTGTTGTCCTCTTGATAGTCTCAACTATGAGGCTCATGACCTTGAATTTGTGTGGCACATCAAATATGTGTAGCAAATTAATTGCATGCCCTCTAATCATGTTGTGGTCACCTGACTTGGGCAAAAGAGTGTGCCTTAGGATCCAGTTGATCATTGGCAGCCCTGGCAGAAGAAAATGGACTGACCCAAACTTGAAAGTTTCAAGAGCTGCATCTGGGATCTCCTTGTACACATGTGACATAGAATTGTGATCCATCTTTTTCTTGGCATAAATGTCCAAGTCATCTTCACTCTCCTTTGGGGCATTGATCAGATTGGCCCATTCCTCAATAGTTGATTGGTATCTCGTACCTTCAGACATTCAAACTATCCTGCCATCTGGATAGAAATGTGTTGTGGAGTAGAATTGCATAATGAGCTCATCATTCTAGTTTGTGAGCTTCTACCCAACAAAGTCTGCAACTCCACACGCACTGAAGTTGTCAT